ATATATTTTCAAGACCGGCTTCTCTTTGAGAACTCAGTTGTAGCTTATTAGGCATCTACTGTCAATCATCTTTTTCCAAATTGGTTGTCTTATTTCAATTGTAGTCAAAATTATCATCTACTTAAAAATAATTTTCATAATAAATTTTATAAATTTCTGAACTTTTTATTGTCCTCTCAATGATTGACCAGAAAGTTAAAAGTCTGGATTATATACATATACATATATATATATATATAATTTTAATATTTTATAATTAGATACTACCCATAGCTAGTGATTTAATAAATTGCTATATAACTAATTTTCCTAATTAACTAATTAATACTTTTGAATATGAAATTAAAAGTAAAAAATATAATTAGGTAAATTTATTTTACTGACTTTGCTGCTGAATAATTTATAACTAGTTAGAAGGAAATTTCAACGTAGCTTCCTTTTAGTAAGTACAAAAATTAACCCCTCCAATATAAAATTTAATTCACCCAAATCTTAATTTTAATTTTTAAATTTATATACTTATTTATGAAAGTATATATCAAGTATGCATGAACTTATGAAAAAGTCAAACTACAGACAAAAATAATATTATACAAAATATTAAAATATTATTTTAAATTTTAAAATTTTTAAAGCACTCCATTTTTTATTTTTATTATTATTATTTTTTGGATTGTTAATAAATTTACATATTTTTTTGAATGAATTAAATAAAAAAAATATTTTTATTTGGATCGTGTACATTTATTTGTACACGTGAATAACGTTTTTTTTTTAAATATAAATTATTTAATGACTTGTACATATTTAAAAAAAATAAAAATATTTAAATAGTTTAAATTATTGTCCTTGTTCTTTTAATTCTCAAAGAAGATTTTTTTTTCTTTAAAAAAAGATAAAAATAGTAATTAAATTTATATTGGATACTTTATAACATATGATTTGGTACATAAAAATTGAATAAGAATGTAATATATTTGAACCAATTGATGCAAATATTTATTTTTATTTTGAGTGAATTATAATATTATTAAGATTTAAGATCTAGATGCGTACTAACTATAAGAAAACGAAATTTTATTAAAAAATATATTTTCAATTAATTTAATAAATAATATATATTTTGTCACTATAACTAGTTATATTATTGTTAAATAATTAAAAATAAATATATAATAATTTTTTTTTTTAGAAAACATGTAACGGTCTGGAACTTAAAAAGAAAATAAATTATAAATTTGAATGCAGAAATAAAAAAATAACGTTAGAGTTTATATTCCTTACACAATAATTTAGAATACCTAATAGGGTTACAAGAATGATTATTCTAAAAAAACAACGAAAAATTAAAGAAATAAATGAAAAGTAAACAATTGAACATCTTATTCGCAATTCTCTTGTGGATCAGGATTTGGATCTTAATTCTCTTGATCTGAAATGGTTAATGAAAGAGTGAGCTATTTTAGCCTACTAAGAATGTTACACTACTCACCGATACAGAAATGAAGGTTGTTAAAAATTATAAAAATAATTAATGAAACTCTTAATTTAAGTAAATTCATTTATTATAAGTAAAATTATTTATTATACACTTATCGTAGCGAAATTTTCAAAATCACCTATAGAGGTAATATCACAAATAATATCATAATCTAATATACAAATAACTATAACAACAATCTTCCTTTTTTATCTGCCTACAGATATCCATGGGGGTTTATAGAGATGTCCCCACTATGCGTGAACTCTTATTCAATATTTTCAATTAACCGGTTATCCCCATACCTCGTTTGGTATGAGCACAAAAAATATTATCTCTTAATACCTTGTCCGATATGAGGGTGAAACGGATCGTCCTCATACCTCGTCCGGTATGAGTGCCAAAGTACCAATTCTTGATATCCCATCCGGTATAAGACAACGTTCACAGTAGGGTTTTTGATGCACCCGATCCATCTACCATCTCTCAGAATATTCAGTAAAGTTACTATTTATTCACTCACTTAATCAAATAATTTTTCGTTTATATTTAATTTTTAATTTATATTTAATGTAAATCACGCAAATAGAAATACATGCATCAGGATCACAACTGGATTATCATACCAACTCCAGTA